TTAAGAAACCTCCCTTGATTCATTTACCTCCTCCTATAAGGTGTGTGTCTAAAGTCTTCACACATGCCTGCTGTACATTGCCAACTATTAAACCCTTTGTAACAAAGACAATGTCTTAAATTTCTTTTCACAAGTGCTCCAAATACAGACTCTCACATTGTTAGACTCAGCAGCAGACTGAGGGTCCCAAGGAGATCTGTCATTTCATGTGCTTGCTTACTGATCCTCTTTATACTGAGAGGTTGAGTATCTGCTTCCTCCCTTTGAATATAGGTAAAGGCTGATGGCTGCTCCCACTGATGGAATAAGGTAGAAATGGTGCTATGTGGCTTCTCAGGCTGGGTCACTGAAAAGAGGCAGCACCTCTCTTTCTAAGACTTTTCTCTTTCTCAGGAAGCCAACCACCATGCAGCAAGGAAAGCCAAACTAGCCTATATGGAGAGGAACAGAGACCCCACTGTAAAGATCCTGTATCTCCCACCAAGACATAACAGTAAACAAGGCTTCCAGCCCAAAAGTCTTCCGGTGGAGTCTCCAGACTTTATAAAGCAGAAGCAAGCCACCTCCACTGCCAACTTCATACTGTATTCACAAAACACAGGAACATGATAAAGGGGAGCTTGGTGATTTATGCACCCAGGGAAACCAGAGGAGGTTCTATAAATGGACCCCTAAGTTACAATTCCAAAGCTCCAGACTCTGAAAAAAAACTTTTGTCTACTACTCCCTCTTCCTTCATATAGGGCAAGATCTTGGCATGGATGGATTCTCTCCTCTTACTACATCCATAAGATGGCCAATGCTTTAAGAGTCGCACCATCTTCACCACAGGCCTTGCTGGTAACCGACATGGGCTCAGAGCTCTCTGCCTGTGGCATCTGTTCTTCAACAACCTTCATGATAGGTATATCTAGGTAAAGAATGAGAGAGGCTAAGAGGAGGGAGGGAATTTGCTCAAGACAAATTGGAGAACAGATTGCAGAGCCTAAGGCTAGAGACATAGGTCACTTGTCCCACAACACTCAGCTGGTAGACACAAAGCTGAAACTGCAAAACCCAGGTGACACTGACCCCTTTGTCAGCCCCTGGCTATTGTCCAGTGATTTCTCAACAAAGTAGCAAGAAGAAATGCCTTGGACCACAGAAGCTAAAGCCCACACCAGGGATAAATCAGAGGATTCAGAGATGAAATTGCTTCCTGTATTCTAAGTCTTAAGCCTGAAGTCTTAAGGACTCTAAAGCTAGGTGTATATGCACTAAACTAAAATCCAAGTAGATTAAAGATCTAAATATTAAAAAAGAAACACTAAATTTGCTGGAAGATAAGTTAGGCAGAAGTCTTGAAGACATTGGCATAGGAAAAGACTATGAACAAATCCTCAGTAGCACAGGAACTAGTGCAAAGAATCAACAACTGGGATCTCATCTTATTAAAAAAACTTCTGCACTGCAAAAGAAATCATCAACAGAACTAAGAGATCTACAATGTGGGGAAAAAATTTTACCAGCTGCTCCTCAGATAAAGGACTATTATCTAGAATATATAAAGAACTCAAAAAAATCAGGCCCCCCCAAATTTAAAGACCCAATTCAAAAATGGGCATCTGAAATGAACAGACATTTCTCAGACAAAGAAGTAAAAGCAACAAGTAAATATATGAAAAAATGTTCCACATCACTGGTCATTCAAGAGATGCAAATGAAAACAACACTGAAATTCCACCTCACCCCACAAAGAATGGCTGCTATCAAGAAATCAACCAATAACAAATGTTGGCGGGGTTGAGGGGAGAAAGGAACCCTTCTCCATTGTTGGTGGGAGTGCACACTGGTGCAACCACTATGGAAATCGATATGGAGACACCTCAAAGAACTAGGTTTAGAGGTTTCATTTGACCCAGCCATCCCTCTTCTGGGTATCTTTCCAAAAGAATTAAAAGAATCATACCACAGTGATACATGTGCACCCATGTTTATAGCGGCACAGTTTGTAATAGCTAAAACTTAGAAACAGCCCATTTGACCATCAGTTGGAGACAGGATAAAGATGTGGGTTTTCTATAAAATGGAATACTACTCAGCCATAAAGAATGAGAAATTAGATTCATACATAGGAAAATGGATGCATATTGAGGATAAACTCAAGTGAAATAATTAAGTCACACATATGTAAATACTGAATAGTTTCTCTGGTGTGAAAAACCATAATCATAAATAAGATCCTAGTGGTATAATTGACAATGTGAAATAGGAAGAAAAAGGCTAAAGGCGTAGGGGAAGGAGAATGGGTAGGGGAAAGGAAATAGGGAAAAGAAAATAATATGTACACCTAGAATGTACCAAAAAACTCAATAAAAAGAAAAAAATATGAGAAAATGAAAAAATGAAAATAAAGATTTTTGTAAATAGGGAAGGGGGGGTGAAGTAGGGGTAAAAATGAGAAACAAATCTGTCATGTAAAGGTACAACATCCCAATGATGAATGTAACTGTTCTGTATACCTAAAAAGTACCAATAAACTCAATGAAGAAAAAAAATAAAGCTAGGTGTGGCAGTACCCATCAAGCCATGGCAGGTGCCCCACACCATTACCTCATCGCAACAGAAGGCTATGCTTAGCTCCTGGAGAACCATCTCTCAGGGTTTCCACCTTCCCACTCTGCCTCACGGCCATTATTGTCTAACCACACTTCTTCAGCAGGCTGGATGCTTTGGGGAAAAAGGAACCAACCACGGGGGGAAATCAATGACAATACAGGCAAAGAATGTCCTTCCAGAATTCACCACCACCCCATGGGAGGGGGCTTTGTCACCACACATTGAAAGGTAAGAAGACATTTTCCCTTCCTGAGTGAAGGTCGTGCTCCATCCAGAGAACAGTCTCCAACTTTAGGTGTGGTGTTTGTAGCAACACAAAATGACACCTAGCATCCTCCGTGGCCTCTGGAAAGAGAGTCGGAATCTTCACACATGCTGGCCTAATGGTGATAAGCACAGCGGCAAAGTCCTCACCTCCAAGGACCTAGCCAGGACAACCCCACCCTACCATCTTACTCAAAGGGCCAGTAGTTGGGTAAAAGGCCTTCATCTTGAAAAAGTATTTTTTAAAAAAACTTTATTCTCAGTCTATGTATAGATTCTGGGTTTCTACACAAGTTATGCCTCTCTAAGCCACAGGAAAGTAACCCTAAACATCACAGGAATGAGCTTGTGTTTGTTCTGAACTAGAGCACAATTCTTAGCTTTTTTCAGGAAGAAGTACCTTTGGCTCCTGTCTATAAACAGGCTGCTGCTTTCCTCAATGTGCAGGACTCATGAAAGAGGATATCAAAATCTCTCTCTCTCTCTCATGCACACACATCCATACACACACACACCATCTCATTCCAGAGTAGTCCACATTTATAACATTTAGACGTCGGGTGTGGTGGCACACGCCTGTAATCCCAGCACTCAGAAGGCTGAGGCAGGAGGATCGCTGTGAGTTTGAGACCAGCCTGGGCTACATAATGAGTTCCAGGTCAGTCTCAACTACATAGTGAGACCCTGTCTCAAAAAACCAAAAAAAAAAAGAGATATAGAACATTTAGAAAAAGGGGCTCTTTCTGGGAGAACATCTCCAACCTCTAGACCTGACACAACACCAATACCCCAGCACCCAGGTGGCTTTAGGCTGGGGCTCATTGTCCACAGTACACCTGCTAAGAGCACAGTAGTTGCAGCAGCATGGTTATGCCAACAAGGGTCACCATGTTCCTGCAGGTCACTGCACTCCTGTGCACACACATGGTGTACACACAAGCAATGGATGGGGTTTAGGACTCACTGCCCTGCACCATGGCAGCCTGCTGAGAAAACCACAGAAAAGGAAGGTCACCGTTACCTTCCTTGAAGCAGATCATAAAACTGTTTCTAGAGAGATAACCTCCTAATACACAAAGGAACATACTAATCTCTGGAGCCACAGGAGCACAGAGAAGGGTCAGGCATAAGCCCCCCATAGCTTATTACCCACTTCACCCAGGCATATTCTCCACAGAGGGTTGCCATTTACTCCTGTGTCATGGAAAACTTACATTAAATACACTGGTACACATGGTCTTCTTCTGTAGGCCCTAGAAATGTCCAACACGGACACTTTTCTTCCCAAACATTCATCCCAAAAGGCTCAAATCCACCTACTCTCTGCTTATAGGTACATGGCTTCCTAGCAGCTTTCCAGGTCACAGGACTTGCCTGTGCTTACCCAATTCACATTTAAATGGAAGCCATACATTCAACTTGTTCCAGGCATTTTTGGAGGCAAATTTGTTTTGAAATTGGAGCTGTTTATGGAAAGCAAACCAGAAGTCCCTGAACCCCAAGCCTTTTACCCCAAGGTGGTACTTTGGGGAGGCTATGAGAGCAGTTTGTATGAGGATGGTGGACACTGCTTATCATCCCTTTATTGGGGTTGAGCTCTCCTTTAATTAACACTATTCGATGCATACAGAATGAAAAGGGTTGGTTATAGAAAAGGGTTGCAGCATAAGACTGCATTGGTAGTACAAGAAAAAGTACTTTTTCCTTACTATGATACAATTGAGACCAAGGCAAAATCCTATAGCAAAACAAGAATAGGGGATTTTGCCACTCTCAGATGTACTAAGACAGGAAGAAGAGGCCCTGGGGACAGGGGAAAGGGCTGTACAAACAGGCCTGGCCTTGTCGCGCATGCAGGACATTTCAGTTCTCACTCTTAGGCAGAGTGCTTTACCCAGAAACCACATTTATGTCCTTGCTACAGAGCTTCCTATTTTTGTGATTCAACAGAAATGTTCTCCCCACCACATTTCTATTTAAAAACTTTATTCCTCCAAAGAGTAATTCGCTCTTACCAATTAAGCAACTAGGATAATTTCATCTGTGCCACAAAAAATAAACTCAAAAACCTCAGGAATAGAACAAACCAAAAGCTCCAGCCCATTCTTAAAAAAAAAAAAAAGGATGTAAAGCTTGACCTATGGCTATAGCAAATGGCTATCGTCAATCCAAGCTATAATCAAGAAGAGAAAGAAACACAAATTAAACAATGTCAAGAACATGCTGAATTCACAAGAACATTAACTTAACATGGTCAATTATTTTTAAACATTTCCTAAAGTACCTTGTTACTAACGCTTCATAAATAACATACTTAATGATAGACCTTTAGTTTCAACTTTGCTTTTAAAGAAGCACCATATTTTGGAAGGGTCTTAAAGAGGCCTAAGATATTTCACTGTGGATTAGATAGGATATGTCTTTCATCAGGAAAGACTTCCAGAATGGGACTCTTTTAGCACTGAGACAGCAGTGGGAATATACGACATCAGTGTGTGGCTGATTCCAAGGTTGGCATTAGGACAGTAAAGCCCTGAGTGTGGTCCACTTACCTCCCCCCACCCCAGGAACATGAGGTGGAGCCCAAGTCACCAAGAAAATGGGCCACATGGACAATCCACTTATGGCCAGAAAATCTCAGGTCCAAAGAAGCAGAATGTGAAAGTAAGATATCATGCACACAACTGCTGGGCACAGCATCAACCAAACAGTGAGGTAAAGCTGTGATTTCCTCTTTTCTCTTCAGGGGTGTCATGGAAACCTTTCAAGCATACATTGGGTCAAACCATAAGACCTAGCCTCAGCCTGTTCATACAAGGTCAATCATGGCTCACAAAAAAGTCAGGCCAGCCAAGTCCAGCTGTACATGTAAATTACTAAGACTCACAGAGCCTCAGTTTTCCCAACTGTAAAATGAACAAAATCATTATTTTCTCTTGAGTAATGTAAATATGAAGTACTTTTTCTATATCTGTGTTTATGCCTACAGATAGGAAAAACGTTATACATATGAGCTACTACTGCTAGCACTAAAAATACCCCATTTATGAAAATGTTGGTGCACTCCAAAATTTAATTATTCAATTTACTCTTAGAACTATGATAATGTTCTAAAGCCAGGCATGGTGGTACATGACTGTAATACCAGCTACTCAGAAGGCTGCAATAGGAGGATTGTGAGTTCAAGGCCAGCTTGGGCTACATAGTGAGATTCCTCAAAAAATAAAAAATTATCACCTAAAAATCAATTATCAGCATTCAACTTACATATCTATGTAAGTCTCATGCATTGGCTTGTGCCTAATAATGCCATTACTCACTTAAAACTCACAGTAGTTAAGAACCTAAGCATCACCTATAATATCATTTCTGTGCTAAATGACTAAGTTGCACCTTAAGATCCCCAGGGTCACTTGTGATCTCCTTAATACTGTATCTCTCAATAGGGTTGGAATATGGAGAATGACATTAGCAGTGCTGTCCTGGATGGTGCAAGATGACTGCAGGGACCGCAGGCAGTGGGAGGATGGAAAGGTGAGGGAAGAAACTTGAGAGAGAACCACGCAAAGGGAAGCAGTCATGATAGAAAACCCAGTGCCGCTATCCAACGGGACGCACTGCAGAACCTAATACAGATGGAATAACTCAGATCCAGAATCACACAGCTATCACTGCAAGCATCCCAAATACGGAACCAAAGATGGTGAGCCACCAGGAATTTGGGAAAATAGACTTCAGTTTACAGAAAGAATATGTCAAAGTACAGGAATGAAACACAGAAAATCAAATTGATTTCATATCTCACTCACCTGCATTTATTCAATCATCTATCTCAACGAAACTGGCCGTATATTTAAATTATGACTTACAAAAACAGAAGAGAAAGACACCTCAGGGACTATAAAGAATGAAAGAACAAGGAGGAAATTACTTTGGGGGAAAAGAAATAAAAGCAGAAACTGAAGCCAAGAAGGTCAGGATGAGCAATTTGCAGATTTCACATGCTGGGTCACTTTACATTTCCTGGAGTTAAAAAGTTCTGGCTTACAGTTTGGCTAATTATAAGATAATTTTACCAACTGAATATTTTGGTAAGCTTTGGAATACAGTTTAATTGATGGCTTTTCCACAGTTGAAAGATAAGTTCTTGCTGAAGTAGGGAGAGGAAATGGAGGTGGGAGGGGCAGAGAAAAGCAGAAAAGGTATTTCAGTGGCAGCTGTGCTAGTCAAAAGGGGTGGAAGATAACTCTTTTGCTGAGGATCAAACTCAGTACCTTGCACTTGTGAGGCAGGGGCAGCACCACAAGAGATAATTCTTTTGCAAAGGTGAATTTCAATGAAGCATTTTTATTCCTCTTTGCCAGGCTTCTGAAACAAATGGGCTTTATTAGCATTTTTAAAAGGATACTTTGTTAAGGAAGAAAGTGTGAATCATGGCAACTCCAGCAGGCAAGATCGCTTGTACCAAAGGCCAGGCCAGCCCAGCTCCCTGCAGGTCTTTCTGTGAATAACCCATGCTAGGGGCCATGCAATGGATCATGCAAAGGCCCTAGGGCTACATGGGAACCAATTTATGGGGTAGGCAGTAACAGCCTACTTCATATTCTGGAAAAATGGCTGATATGTCACCCAGAATGCATTGGATCCAACTGGGAAGCTCTGAAAAAGTGCTAGAACAATGTAGGAAAGAGCTTGTGGGTCTTGCCTAAGAACAGGCTATTGAGGCAAAGTTGGCTAATGTCTACATTCAAAGGATCCATATGACAGCTCCACCTCAGTCCTGCAGAGAAAGCAGGGGTGGAAGACTTCTCTGAGAATTCTGTACCACAGCAGGCAACAGAAGATGGCAGCTGCATCACCTGCCCAGAGATGGACCAGAAGGCTTTGCTCTCCGGCTAACCCTGCCTCTCCAAATCTCTTCAGCTTGCTCAGACATATCAGTAACATAAAAATATTCCAAGCAAGCCTCACATTCGTGCACACACACACAGACATACTAAACACAGGTACATATACTCACACATGTACATGCTTGCATGTAAGCACACTTATGCATGTGTGCACTGTACACACCCTGCAGGTACACACTTATAGATACACACACCCACATTTGGGTGTGCATGCTCTTGTACATGTGTGTGCACACATACATGTGTACATGTACTCACACACACACTCGTGCAGCCACAAGCATGAACCATCACAAGTGCACCTGTTTATATATATGCACACTCAGAAAGGTACACATCTGCACATGTATCCATGAGCATGGATACACTTTGGCATCCAGAGGCCCAGGAACCCCTCAGCCAAAGGGAGGCCTCAGACAATTGACCTCTTTGTTGTTGGTCTCAGCAGGGACCCAGAGGACGGAGGGGGAGGGAGGCCTGTGGGTTGACCCCCTGACCCCAGCCCAGCGTGTTGAGGCCCAGGGACAAGGGGGTCAGCGGGAGTTTTGTGCTGCCTTCCCTAGGGACCATCCCCTCAGGACATACTGTAAGTATTACCAGAACGCACTTAACAAACTCTCCTTCAGAACACTTGTTTTTTAGATTTACACAATTTGTTAGCAACAAAATTAAATCACATTTTAATGGCAAGGAAAGAGTAATTTAGCATTTTTCAAAATCTCCACCAGCTACAAAAACTTTTTTCCTGATGCTTCAGCCTGGAAATGCTCCTTTTTTGGAATAGCTGACCTAGGCAGCTGTTTTGTATCAAGTCTGAGGGTTTCTGTATGACCCAGGGAGCTCAGACAACAGGCAGCCCTTCCTGCATTAAAGGGTAATCTGAGAATAATTTGCCATAAAACACCCAGAAGTGCTCCAGCTGTAGCCAGATACGCCCTATAAAGCACCACGCAGACAGCACGGATCTTGTAAAATAATAATAATAATTTTTAAAAACACATTATAAATTTTTTAAAGAAAGAAATGGTTTCAACTATCAAAGAAGGAGGCTGGGAAATTCCCTTCCATGTCCATAGATTGCCACTAAGCGCCTCTTCCCAAAGGCCCACCTGACCACAGGCCTCTGTATAGCTGAGAATCCATTCTTTACACATATGCTGTGCTTTGTTTTTAAGACAGATTCCCTCTCTCTCTCTCTCTCTCTCTCTCACACACACACACACACACACACACACACCCTTGCACACAGCTGCTAAGGACAGGTGAGGAAGAAAACTCTAGCAATAAATGCCAAGCTCAAAGGCCCTCTCCCCGGTGAGTGGGACTCTGAGCTCCAGTCCAGAACTCTTCTAGACTGGGATCAGCACACTCCAGGACCCAGGCCTTTCCACGGGGGCAGCCACTGACCAGCCGCAGAGCCTGGACACTAGTTTTCCTGATTTCTCAAGTAAAGCTGGAAATTAGGGGTTTTATTATGAAAATTCCCATGTTGTAAACTAATATGAACATTTTTCAAATACTATGTGAGCCAAAAAAACACATCAGTGGGATTTGGCCAAGGGGGCCACCAGTGTACAGCCTCACTTGACACATTTCCGTGCCACCAAGCCTTCCCAAGGGTGTTCAAAACTTCGACTTTGAAGTCCTGCATTGGTGACAAATCTGGAAAGAGCTGGCATATTACTTGTGAGGTTTCCCTCCCTTTGCTACACTTACATAAAACTTTCTCTTTATCCCCTCCCCCAGGGCCTACATAGTATAACATTACAAAATAAACTCAAGAAGAAATTGTTACTTGTTTTCTTCTGTACCTTTTAAACTGTTTCTTCCTCCTTTCACAGGAAATATTAAAAAAAGGATCACCAAGGGGAGAAGAGGTGTGATATAGGCAGAATACCAAAGAGGGCTGTGGCGTGGCCAGACTATCACTCACAGAGCAACAGCACGCAGAGTGCCATTCACATAGAGCCACGGTGTGGAAACACTCACACTGGCAGAGCCACGCATGAAGAGAAAATCCCAAGGACAGCTGTGACATGGACAGACTCTTCCTAAATAAGCCATCTCAGGAACAGAATTCCACAGACCACCATGGTATTAGCAGAAGTTCACATAAGCAGAGTCACAATATAAAAAATCCTACAAAAATCCACAACAGGTAGAATCTCCCACAAACAGAGCTACAGTATAAACAGATTTCCACACAACAGATCTATGACACGTTAGCCTCAAGGATGAGTGGGCAGAAAGTGAGTTAGAGAAT